TTCGAGTTTTTTGAGTGTTTTAGTGAAACTTCTTTGGTTCATGCTTTTTCATTACGTCATTTTTTGATTTGGATCTACTATTACAAAATAGGTAATGAATGATAATATTTAGAACTTGACCTCAATCTTCAATCAGGATTGAGATTAGATCTTATAGTTACTTAAAAAAGGTCTATGTTTTTATATTTACTACAGGTTTTTAATCTCACGTTATATTTGATATATCAATACATATAATATATTACACTATTAGATTTTAATCCCTTACTAAATTTTCAAGATTCGATAATTTAGAACTCTTGTCCAAGCTATTATCTTTAATTCGAAACATTATAATTCGTGATAATGAACTCAGATCGCCGTTCCATTCGCTAGATTAGACATAAACTAAACGTTAAACTATAAAGAGTAGAAATAAAAATTATAATAATCATTAATAATATTGTACCGTAAAGTTCTGACATTTCTTGGGTTCATCAAGTCAGGTATTTCTTATTAGAGATAATTAATTAAATGAAAAAATATAAATTAGTAAATAAATACAGAGATAAAGAATGATTAAATAAAAAAAATTTACCAATTCCATCCTTAAACTCTTTTCTTTCTTTTTCTTTAATAGCAAGCAACATCTCTTCTCTAGTGGATCTAGGACGTCCATCACGAGGGGGGGCTAAGAGTTTAGCATCATTACGAGATATATATCTATTATTGTTGAATTAATTATCATTATTATTATTATTATTGATCTTATAAGAGTAAAAATAATTGTGCTAGTGGATTTGAATTTGAATAAGATTAATACTTTTCAATGAGTTCGTATATTTCAGATTTAGTAAAACACTCAATGGACGATGGTGGTAATGTTGCCGATTCTCTTTCAATTAAAACATCTCTAAACCACAAGACTCTATTAACTAATAAATTCAATTCAAATTTAATCAATTAAATTGATTGAATGAATCGCATTTATTATCATTATTATTATTATTATTATTATCACCAGTATAATTCTTATTGTTATTTCGCGCCTTAGTTTTTTGTAGCCGCTCAACACGAAGTAAAGCTCGTTGCAACTGTATAGCTTTTCTTGAGGAGGGATGAATTACTTTATCGGTTGTGAGTTTTTTGTTAATGGTGTTGGAGATAGAATCGTCATTTTTATTGCTAGTCGTGGTTTTGAATAAGTGTATACGTTTATTTTTTGGCTATATTATTAAAAAAGCTAAGGTTAAAAATAATGCAAAATATTTGAAATATTTGTTTCTCGGTCTCTGATTATTTACCATGATGAAAATCGTGCATAAAAATCTTTCGAGATATCAATAATTAAAGTCAGCATTAACCAATGGCAAAAATATGAATCACATGACTCGATCAGTTCGTTTAAAAGTGGTTTTCAATTTAATACGCAGTACTTGTATTCGACCAAATGAAAAAAATACTCTTTCCACCGTACATAAATAGACATGCCATTACAGAAGCTGTTTGGGAGGAGGCTCTCAATATATGGAACGCCAATCTTTCCTTGCTACTCAAATTACTGGATAGCGAGTTCGCCAACCAAATACTAGAAAATGAATCTTTAAAGTCATTTTTAGTGACATTTTTAAAGACACGGGCCGGTTTTCACGAATTAGGTGCTGTTATTGATAACCAGACGATATCAGAAGACGAAGTTGCGCTCGAGAGAAAGGTTATGCTTGTAATGTTACGCTTGACTCAACCTCGAATTTTGGTGCACTCTACGACAGAAGAAACGAGTTTGGCTGCTGCATTGTATCAGAGCAAGTTTCTTTCAGTACCGTTACTTTTGGATTTCTTGGTGATCTATGCAAAGTCGAATTATACCCATACACAACGAATGTTTAATAATGCAGTTGAATTGGCACCGGCTTTGCTCCTTGATTTTGAAAACTTTTCCGGTGTCATACTTGATCATCTCAAATCATTAAATCAGAGAATTGAAAGCTTTAAAATTTCTGTTGGGAGCGCCGCGAACAATGGCGCTATGAATAATGACGTTGATCTTCGGACATATTTTATGCATACAATTGACGTTGCTATATCTTTAGATTGCCTATTTTCCGTTTCGAAACCAGTTACAAATATTTTCACAAATCATCAAGGAAACGACGAAAATCAAAGCATTCTGATGACAATTAAGCAACTCTACGAGTCCACAATCCCAGCTATTTCTGATCTACTAGACCCAGAGAATTCATCGAAAGAGATCATGAGAGCGATAAATATATTAAAACACGCGTTGGTATCATTAACATACCGTACTTTTGACACATCTTATTTCAGTCCTTTAGGATTCACTGCTGAAATTGGGAATTCTTTGTTATTTATTGCTTCTGATGATAATGAAAAATTGATCGATCAGGAGAAGATAAAAGAGACCCTTGATCGCATGAGTGATGTTTTATTCTGGTTATCTGAACAATCAATGTTAGAGAAACCTGTGCTTGCTTTTGTGGATGCACCGTTACTTTTGGATTTGGAAATTGAATTTAATTTGAGTGGAAAATTGACGCGAATAAAAGATCAAATTCTTAATGGATATCCTTTTCTCGAATTATTTGTTTTTTTTCTTTGTTGGATCCATTCAAATATTGTTAATCTTAACATATGCAAACGGATGATGCACGAATAGATTATATTAATAAATCCCTAGAAATGATGCGTGATATGGTCCAAGAAACTCCGCCTAAGCAGAAAAGATCAGATCGTATCAAAACCAGTAGATTGCTTGCAATGACAAATGAAGAATTGAAGGAAATAATAAAAACATCATCCGCACAATCAGATATTAAGGTATTATTATTCTTATTAAGTTCATTGTCATAACATGTTACAAGCAAATGTGACTAATATTTATGATTTTCAGGCAGAGAAATCAATTGATGAAGTGCAACGCGAATCTTTGATTTCCCAAGTCAAGGATGTGTTTCCTGATCTTGGTGACGGATTTATAGAGCAATGTCTAATTGCGTTGAATGAAAATCCAGAGACCGTGATTAATCATTTATTGGAGAATACTCTCCCAGGCGAGCTTGCTAAATTGGATCGTTCCTTACCAAGGTTTGAAATGAATTTAATATATATTATTATTTATAGACGCAACATAGTCTTTTTATTGTCACATTTCTGATAAATAGGTCACCATCACGATCC